ACCAGGATTACAGGTGTGAGCCACTGCGCCCGGCCAACACATCATTTTTGAGTGTTGACTGTATACCAGGCCCTGTCCTCGCGCTGTTCCTGCACTGATTGGACCCGGCACGCCCCGGTCACCCCCACTGTACAGGGAAACTGAGGCCTAGAGCAGCGAGGCCACTTGCCAAAGGGGGCAGTGCCTGAGCAGAGAGGTCAGAACCCGGACCCCGTCTGGCCAGAGAATATGCCCCAGACTCTTCCTGACACTCTGCCCCCTCCCTGCTCAGCCCCCGCGGGCTCCCCACCCGCCGTGTGCGCGGAACCCCCTCCTGTCCAGCCCAGAGGCCTCCTGCCCTCGCTATAAATGCACCACCAGCTGGCATCTGCGCCTCTCGCCGCGCAGCCACCTTCCCTGCACAGACAGACGGCTGTCGCCTGGCCGCGCGGCCCTGGCGGAAATGTCAGGGTGGTGCCAGGAGCTCCCCACCCCTCCGCCACCCAGACACCTGGACAGGGTCGCTCAGTCCCGCGTCCGGTCACAGCCACCCCTGGGTCCCTGGTGCCGCCCGGGGTGTCAGAGCAGAACTGGGGCCTCCCCGCCTCCCTCCTGGAGCTGGAAAGAGGATCTGGGACAGGAATGAGCACTTACTGAGTGCCTCCTGTATGCTTTTCAGGGACTAGTAACACCAATCCTCAATGTAAGGGGCAGGGTTCTCATTCTCCCCATCCCACAGATGGGCAAATTGAGGCCCCAGGAGGGGAGTGCACCTCTCACAGCCTGGAGCACACGCGGACACGGTTGTGTCCAGCATGCAGTGGCCACCGTCACGCGTCCTCTGTGTGCCGGGGTGAAGATCTCTGAGGGCGGAGGAGGCGGGGTGGGTCCCTCGCCCCCAGGCCAAGCCCCTTTCTCCCTCCACCAAATCCCGGGCATGCTCTAAGGACACCCAGGCCCGAGGCCTGGGCACGGCAGGCGCTTGAGCACGGCCCACCCCGTCCCCCACTGCAGTCGTGACGGGACCGGGGCTTGCACGGCTGGGAGGGTGTGGCTTCCATCAGAGAACCTCAAAGGGTATTTTTAGTTTGTTTTGTTTAAGAGGTTTCAATCCATTTCTCATTCTGGCTCTGCCTCTTAGAGGCTGTGTGATCTTGGGCAAGCGGCTGACCGTCTCTGGGCCTCTGCTGCCTTATCTGAGAGTGGGAGGAGGCAAGAACCCCTCCTCGTGCAGTGCTGGGGAGAATTAAAGCAGTTAAGATGCGCCATGGGCCCTGAGCCCGGCACACAGGAAGCGTCCAAGACGGGTGTCTGTTACTATTATTGCCATCTGTATTGTTGCCTCCCAATTCCATCCAGGAGGGGCTGGGGACCTCCCCTCTCTCTGAGTTTCTCCTGCCACCTTCTCTAGGGCACCCCACCCACCCACCAGGCAGCCCCTGCAGCAGCTGCGAGCGTCCCGGGCCGGCCCCTGCCCGCAGTGCCATCCTGGGCCCTGGACAGCCAGCGGTTGGCACCGCGCAAGGCGGGAACGGGAGGCTGGCCCATGGCGGCGGTGGCGTCAGCAGATGGGCACCATCTGGGCTGGCGGCTCGGGACGGGCTGGCAGCTGCCGGGGCGGGCGGGCCTGGCAGCCCCTCCCCCTGGCCCTGGCACCGCGCCCGCCCGCCTCAGGTTTCTCAGGCTGCCGGAGGGGGCGGGGAGGCCTGGCTGGGCTGGGGCGGGCGGGCAGGCTGGCAGGCGGCTTCCCTCTCAGGGCCCTGGTTCCTCCACACTTCTTCCCCCCAACGAAGCCTCCCCCCTGCTCCCCCGGCTTCACCCTCACCCCTGCAGCCCCACACCCTGCTCCCCCGCCAGCCTCAGGGCCTTTGCACTGGCTGTGCCCCCTGCTGGGTACACCCTCGCTGCCCTCTCTCCACCTGCAGGCCTCGTGTCTGCAGTCACCTCCTCAGAGGGGGCCCCCGACCCCCTCCACACCTCTCCCCTGCTCTGTTTTCCTGTCCCACCCCAGTGCACACGGCCCCCCTGCACCAATGCCCCAAGGAGCTCATGTCCCCCCATCACAGCCCCAAAGCTGTCCCCTAGGCTGCCCCCCAGGGCACACACCACAGCCCAGGCCCCTGTGGCCAGGGAGGTGCCAGATGGACGCTGGGTGGCCAATTCTGCCCCAGGAGATGGCCTGGGCTCTGACCGTCTCGCAGCGCCAGTGCCGAGGGGACCTTCTCAGGTCCCTTCCACCCCCCATCCCCCCAAGTAATCGCAGGATGGAGGCCTGGGGTTCCCCCGTAGGGTGCGGCCCCATCGGCCCACCTGACGTTCCTGGGAGAGACAGGGAGGCCGAGATCGGGGTGGGGCGAGGGGGAGCCAGGCCTCGTCTGAGGACGGGGGGACCCGCGGTGCCTCTGTCCACGTCTGTGTGACTCTGCGTTCGTGTCTTTCTCCCCACTGTCTTTCTGTCGGCCCCTGGGCCCCACCTTTGGTCACCACTTTCCATCTCGATTCTGACGTCAGAGGCGGGGCAGGCACCCCCAGTACCCCCCCTGCACCCTGGGGACTCACACGGTCGGGGGAGGGGTGGCGGCCAGTCTTCCTTGCTGTCGGACTCGCAACTGCTGGGGTTAAGCACCGAGGACGGCCTTGGCCCGGGGACCCCAGACAAGACCTCGGCCTGTGGGGTCCGAGAACACAGAACCCAGCTGGGAGGTGGCCAAGCCACGCTGACGGATGCTCACGCTGCACGCCACGATTTACCCCTGTCCCCTTCCACGACACTGACTGGGGTGGGGGTGTGTCACTGGCACAGCAGAGGTGGAAGCTGCCTGGGTCCCAATCCCACCTCTGCCCTCTCTCGGCTGTGTGACCGTGGGCAGGTCAGATCGCTTCCTTGGGCCTCTGTTTCCTCATCTATAAAATGGGCACAACAGTGATTCTGCCTCGTAGGGCTGCTACACGCATGGAAAAGAATTGCTAAGCCCTCGGGAAAATGGCCGGCAGAGAGAACGTGGAGCTAGGAGCTGGGGTTTTAAAGCATGAGCAGGAGTTTTCCATATGGGAAAGGCATTCCAGGAAGAGGGAACAGCGTAGGCAAAAAGGCCCGGCCAATGGGAAACCGTCATCGGAAGGAGGAAGATCGTGTCAGTGACAATGGGGCCCTAGCCTGGTGCCTGGCACTGACGAGCCCACGAGGGTTGTTTGTTGAGCACTTACCAAGGGCACCCTATGTTCCCCATAAGGGGGTGATTTTTGAGCTCCCCATTTTATAGACAAGCAAATGAGGCACAGAGAGGGTCAGCGGCTTGCCCCAGGTCACCCAGCCAGCAGGCAGCTCTCATCCCTGACCCTCACGCCCAGGATGGGCAGGTGGCAGGGTGGGGGGTGTGGTCCGATGGGGCCAGTGGGAGCAGGGACATCCCCAGGGGGACAGTGGGGTAGGCTGGGCTGGTAGCACAGCCTGGCAGCTGGACACCAAGGTGTCTGTGGAGGCCACAGGCCGGCCTGCCTGCCGCGCAGAGGGGGAGGGGGCCGGCTGGGGGCGGGGAGGCGCCCGGAGATTGTGCTGACTGCAGCAGAAAGCGCAGCTTCAAAATTTTATCAGCTCAGTGCGGAGGAGGTGGGGGTGGGGCGGGCGCGGAGGACGAGGGGTGGGAGAGGGAGGCTTGGACCTGCATGGCAACGAGCCCGCGGCCCCCACGCGGCCCCTGCCCGGACACGCTGTCGCCTCCTGCCCCTCTCTGCCTCCGCTGCAGCCCCAAATGCCGCTCCGCTTCCCGCCCTGGTGGGTTTGCTGCTCAAGTGTGGGGCGGGGAAGGGGGGGGGCAGATGCTAAGGTCAAGGTCAACGATTCAAGGTCAAGACCGGGTCACTCTCTGCCCTGCTCTCCCTCCCTCCCACACCCCCTGGAGACAGACGGGGAGCCCACGACCTTGCCTAAGCCTGGCACCAACTCCAGACGACAGCGCAGCTGTTACCCGCATCGTAGCGAGGGGGGAACTGAGGCACAGGAAAGGAACGTGTCTGCACAGCCAGGGAAGAGCAGGGTGGCATCTGGAACCTGGACAGTCTGGCCCCAGGGTCCCCCTGTTCCTGCACACGCCGGTGTGCAACCACCTGTGTTCACGTGGGGGCTGCTGGGGTTTGCAACCCACGTGGGTCTGTGTGTGGAGGGCACCACCCGACACGCCCCCAGCGTGTGCCGGCCACACGCGTACCAGGCCGGCCTGGGTGGGCATGGCAGGGGTGTGACGCGTGCCCATCAGGTCTCTGGGGGCATTCGATCCCGTCCACACGGAGACAGTCCTGGGGACACCCTCCACGCGGCAGGCTGGCGCTCCCCCCCAGTGATCTCCTCAAAGTCCCTGCAGCTCCATCAAGCTAGGCACTCTGATAACCTCCAGGTGGGGGAAACTGAGGCCTGAGCGGGCCATACAGCCAGGAGGCAGCACCTCAACGGACCCTGCTGCCGTCTCAACCACGCCCTGCTCTTGGCACAAGGACCTGCTGACCTTGAGAGGCCGGACGGCACAACCAGCCTCCCAGCTCTGCCCCGGCTGCCACGCCACCTGGATACCCACCCCCACGTCCGCTGCCGCCCGGCCACCCTGCAGAGCCGAGCTCAGCTGCGCCGCCTCCTCTGGGAAGCCACCATGGATTCCCCTGACTCTGCACAAACCCTACGGGTCTCAACATCGGGCATTTGACCCCCAGAGACCTCCAGCAACCCCCCAGCTGGAAGGGCCGAACTCACGAGGCCTCATCCACTGGCGTGGTCTGAGAGTCGATCAACAAACATTCCCGGAACGCACCCCCAGGACTCTCTGAGCTTTCCTCGGAAGACTAGGATGGCCTGTCTCTCTCTTTTCCCCGTCTCTGCTCCCAAGAGCGCCACATCGTGCCCCTCGGACAGGGTCTCACTCCCCGAGGCCTCAGGAGCCGGCCACCTCCCTCAGACACGGAGGTGCATCCTGCCTCCGCCTTCCGACCGCCACAGCCCGCCTGCCTCCGCCGCCCCGCGGCCGCCTCACCTCGCTCGCGCACGAAGTAGGCCAGGTAGAGGTCCAGCTCCTTCACGGCCACGCCGATGTGGTGCGGCTGCACGCAGAGCACGGGGTGGCCGCACTGCGCCGCCTTGACCAGGCGCTCGCCGTCGGTGCTCTCGAGCGGGATGCCCTTGAACAGGATCACCATGACCAGGTCCAGCCGCCACACCTTGTCGGCCTGGCGCAGGCAGTCGATGCGCCGCATCTTGCCCTTCTGGTCGGGGTTCGAGAGCACGCAGCCCGGCGCCTTCTTGCCGGTGATGGCCAGCACGAAGTCCTCGCGGCACTCGGGCCGGATGTCTTTGCGCAGCTTGGCCAGCAGCCGCGACGCCCACTTCTGCTTGACCTCGGGCTTCTCGCCCAGCAGCTCGTCCTTCACCGCCCGCTCCTCGTCCTTCGACATCCGCTTCTCGTGCTTCTTGAAGTACTTGCGCTTCCGCGCCTGCAGGTTGAACCAGGTGTAGGCGAAGGCGCGGACGTGAGGCAGCAGGGCCTCGATGAACGGGTGGAACTCATCCTGTGGGACAGGGGAGGCGACACGTCAGCAGGAGGCCGGGCACTGCGGACCCATTGCCCTGTCCGGAAGACTGAGGCCAGAGCCGGGCAAACCCACCAGATGGGGAGTCGCAGGCTGGGCGGCCGCTGCAGACCCACCCACCCCACCGGGGACAAACGGAAGGCCAGAGGTGACCCAGCAGTGGGGCACCTGCAAAAACCCATTGCCCAGGTGAGGAAACTGAGGCTCGGACTGGGAGGAAGGCACAGGCCACGGCAGAAGTTCATGGAGGACCACCTTGAACCTCCATATACAGAAGGAGCAAGGCAAGGGTCCCAGGTGGGGGCTGACAGAGGACTCATCGTACAGATGGGTAAACTGAGGCTAGAGACTGGGGAAGTCGTGGACGCATTCTGTGCCTGCTAGAAGGGGGTCGGCAAACTTTTACGCCAAACAACCAGATGGCGAACATTTTAGGTTTTGTGGGCTACACACAAAATTCACATTAGTGCAGAATCAGCCCTACGCGAGATGAGAGCGATCAGAGGGGCCGTGGGCCAATAAAACTTTATCTACAAAGGCAGGTGCTGGGCACTTGGCTCCAGGCTGCGTTTGCAAAGCCCTCATGGGGGAGGGTGAGCGGCCACCTCCTCCAATGCCTAGCGCAGGGCCGAGCACACAGTGGTGCTCAATGACTGCAGGAGGAACCAGAGACAGAAACATCGAGGCCCAGGGAGGCTCCGAGACCCGGCCGGAGCTGTGACTTCAACACACGCTTCCCATCGTGACTCATCCAGGGGTTAAGGGCGGCCACAAAACCCGCTCTTTACAGACGAGGAAACTGTTAGATTAGTTCATTTGCCCACAGTCTCCCAGGAGGCAGGAAAAGGCCCGAGACCCTGCTGCCAGCTGCTGCGTGGCAGGGAAACTGAGGCTCACGGAGGGGTGGAGACCCGGCCAAGGTCCCACAGGGGTCTCAGGGCTTGTGTGAGGATAAGAACCAGGACCCTGACCGCCCTGAAGGCCATCGACCCTTTTCCCAGCACAGCCTGTCCTCCGCGAGGCTGGGGTCCCCGAGAGAAAGAGAAACAGCTACTCCGGACTCCAGTCCGTGTTCCGGCTGGGCGCACGCAGCACCCCCCTGCCGGGGCACCCCCTTGCTGTGTGCTCCGTGCCCCCTGGGCCGCCTCCAGCCACAGGACGCTGCAGGGTGGGGGCGGGGACATCAGATGTCACCTATTACTGAGGGTCTGAAAATAGCCTCCCCACCTGGTGAGGCCAGGGTGAGGCAGGACGGGGCTCCGCTTGGGCCAGCCCAGCTCCCCCACCTCCGTGTCCCCCGAAGTGTGAGTCATCGTAACAGCTGCAGCTGGGACTGGACCTCGGGGCCCTTTTATGCCTGGCCCCCGCCACCCCCGAGCGGACCTGCTGAGGCAGACAGAGGATGGAGGGGCCCACCCCAGTGCCCGGCCACCCTTGTCCTCTCCTGCGCCTGGAGGCTACTCGACATTCGAGACCCAGAGACCCAGAGTAATTTGTCCAGCGTCACACAGCTGGGCAGCAGAGCCCAGGCCACCTGGCCAGAGATGCAGGGGGCCTGGCGGGGGGCCAGGTGGTTCGGGGTGGGGGGATCAATAGAGACACAGGTCACTGCCCACGGAGGGGGCGCCAGGTGGGCAGGGGGCCAGGACGACAGTGTCCAGGTCTCCTCTCCCTGACTCCTCCTCGCCCTGAAGCCCCTTCTCTTTTTGACCTCCTGTCCCCCGAATTCCTTCTCTCAGCCTGGGCCCCTTCTGGGGACAGGTGCCAGGGAGGCAGGCAGGAGTGGGAGCCCACGTCACTGGTAACCCAGGCTGGTTGTGGAGGCAGAAAGAAAAACAGCCTGTAACTGGGTCATGGACCTGGTGCCCCCTCCTCCCTCTGGCGTCCTGGGAGGTCAGAGCAGGTGAGAGACCCGGCCCATCACTCTCTTTGTCCCACAAGACCTGCGACAACCAGGCTCTCTTCCCCGGGCACCTCCCAATTCCCTCAAAGGGTGAACAGGCAAAGGAGGCAGCCAAGGCAGGCTAGATGCTGAGAATCCTCCCAAACTCCTATACATCCCTCAATGCCCCATCTCCAGTGTCCCTTCCTTCAAACAGCCTCTCCCCAGGGTTCCCCCACACCTAGCCTGGACTGTACAGGCTGGGGGGTGTCTCTGAATCCAGCTCTATCACCCCGCTCTCTGACCCTAAGGCCCAGGGTTGAGGCACCCACTGCCAGGGAAGGAGATGGGGGGATATTAGTTTCCATTTTCACTGTCAGTATGACCCAGCCTCAGTTTCTCATTCTGTACAATGGGCAGAAATGAACATTGCAGCCTGATGAAGATGGGTGGAGCTTGTTCCTTGCCCTGGTAACCAGAGATACAAAGCCACAGGAGAACAAGGCCGGGCCTTTTCCAGAAACCCCAGCGTGGCCCATTGGGGCTTCCTGGCCAAAGAGGGCAGCAGCGGCTGAGACAACTGTGCCCTGGGCTGTGCCCCTCTCTCAGCCTCCCTGTGGTCCCCCCACCCTGAAAGTCCATGCTAGCAAGCTAGGACACGAAACTCCAATTACAAGTTTTCAAGATGAAAGTGATTCAACAATCCTTAATGGGAATGGATCTCATCAAACTCCTATGCATCCTTCAAAGCCCTGCTTCCAATGCCCTCTTCTATAGGTTGGGTGATTTGTCCAAGGTCACATGGCTAGCAAGAGGCAGAGCTCATATTCAATCAATACTGTCTGGCACCAGTGTCAGGGCTTCTAACCTGGGTAACTCCTTTCCCCCAGCTCAGAGCATCGGAGCTTGTGAATAACTCTCATCTAACCCTGTGAGGGAGGGATTCCTTCGGTTGTTCAACAAATACCTACTGAGTGCCTGCTGTGTGCCAGCCCCAGGCACGGTGCTGAGGATTTGGCAGCGGCCTGGGCTCAACCCTCCCAGATCCTGACCTGGGACACATGTCAATAAGTCAACAAATATGTACCAAAACGTCAGGTTGAGCAAAGCGCTCTGAAGAAATGTAAAAGAGTCTGAGGGGCCAGGGAATCCCTGAGGGATGGGTGTTCTTTAGCTGGAGGTGGTCCCAGGAAGGTCTCTTGCAGGAGGGGACACTTGAATGAAGACCCAGAAGATGACAATTCCGGGTAGGAGCTTTCCAAGTGCAGACAACAGCCCGTGCAAAGGCCCTGGGGCAGGACAGTGCCTGGAGTGTTGGAGGCACAGTGAGGAGGCCCGTGTGGCTGGAGCAGAGTGAGGAGGGCGGGAAGGGGACAGGATAGGTTGTGCAGGGAAGAATTGGGTAAACTGAGTCCAGAGAGTGGACACTCCCTGCCTAAGTGACCAGTGAGCCCCCTGGGTCTCCTGACTTCCCTCTCTGTGCCCTGGTGTCCCTGGAGGATGAGGAGGGCTGAGCCAGGGGGCTTGGGATGTAGGGGACAGAGACAGGGAGTCTGGTTGCACCTTTTAGAGGCGGAGGGTCGAGCCGTCAACTCTACAAAATGGGAACTGTCACCGCACCTGCTGTCTAGAGGAAGAGACTGAGGCACCGAGCGCTGAAGTCACAGTCAGGAAGGAGACCCCTGAGCCTCCAGTCCCACTCCCGCGCCCTTGAGCCCGGGGTCTGGGCTTGGTCACACATTCGCCACACCCTCAGGGAAGCCGGCTCCCGCCAAAGAGGCAGCCCGGTCCTGCCCTGTCACCTCGTTTCCCGCCCGCCCCCCTGCCCGGGCGCCCGGGCGTGGATTCCACCTGTCCCCACTGCTTCTTCCACCATCCCACCCTCCATCTAAGCTACCACCACTCACGCCTCCCCAGGTACAACGGATGCTGACGTCCACCCAGGTCTGGTCAGACCGGGGGACACCCTGCACAGGGCCCAGCAAGAGAGAAAAGACCAACAGAAAAGCCCCCGGGGGGTCTGAGCCGAGGTCGGTCACCGACTGTCCCTGTCCCCTGGCCCAGAGCCTAGTTTATGCCGAACTAAGTGACAGAACAAAGGGAGAGTGAATTGGAAAATGCCTACGGGATGTTTAACGCAATTATTAGTTTAGCAGCAACCACGATCACCGCAGCACTTATTTGGCACCTACTGTATACCAGAGTGGAGTATCTGGGGACAGCATGATCGTGTCCCCCCGTTTTTGTGTGGAGGAGAAATGGAGGCTCAGAAGACCAAAGTCCCTTCTCTCAACCAACAGAATCGTTCATCCGTTCACGATGCAGCCGGTATTTATTGAGCACCAACTGTGTGCCAGGCTCTGCACTGAGCGCCTCCCTGAATCCTCAGCCACAGACGGGAAGAAGGCTCTCGGTCTCTGTCTCGGTGACCCCCACCCCCTACTCTGGCACATTTGAGGCGGGGCAGGGCCGTGTCCCCATTGGTGCATGTGTCAGGGAGTGTGCACGTATGTGTGCCGCACGTGTCACGGACGCGCACTGGGTAAGGGGGCAGCCCTCGTGTGTGTAAACACGGGCACACGTGGTGGGGGGCGCCACACGGGGCCGGAGGCCTGGGCAGGACAGGGTGGCGTTTCTGTCCGTTTGGTGCGAGACGGGAGGGAGGACGGCTCAGACAGGGAGAGGGAGCGCGGGAGGGAGCGAGAACGCTGACTCGGCCAGAATCCCAGCTTTCCTGATTTACAGGGCGCCGGCCCTGGCGCTGAGGCACCTCCGCCGCAGAGAGGGGAGGGGAGACACAGGCACGGAGAGAGACACGCCGGAGAGACAGAGCGCGGGAGAGACACCCGGAGAGAGAGCGTGCCTTTTAGGGGAACAAATCACAGGCCACCAGCCCACCTGCCCAGGCCTGGACAACCCGCCCGATGAGACGTAGCCCCAAATCCCAGCCCCGCCAGCCTCGCTGTGCCGCCGGGAGCGGGTCCTGGCCCTCTCTGGGTCTCAGCCTGGGAGGCTGGGGACCACTGGCCCTGGCAGAACCCCCTTCACCCCCTCCGGATCCCACCCTGCTGCCTGTGCCTCCCCATCCCCCCACCCGGGCCACATGACAATCTATTAAATCAAACCCAAGCCTCAGTTTCCCTGCTGGAGAAATGGCAGTAAAAAGAATGCCGCTGTCACGCAGAATGAGGCAAAGGAACGAAGGAAAGAATGAATGAATGAGGGAGGGGCCCAGGCAGCCACGCGGGAGGAGGTGGCCTCTGCCCAGGCCCAGCCTGTGGCCCGGCCCGGGGAATCCTCGGCGCCCGCAGCCAAGAGGGATTTGGCCCCAAACCCGGAATAACTAACTAACGTGGCGGTGGCGGGCGGGCGGCGGGGAGGGAGGCCCAGCCGGGGCGGGCGGGGAGGTGGCCTTTCCCGCCGCCAGGATTTATGGAAGTAACGGCAGCCCCGCGCAGTTCCTCTTAAGAGTAAAAGTGAAAAAGCGTTTGAGTCACCGCCGAGACCGGGACGGGGCTCCCAGAATGCTCCAGGGCAGCGCGGGCAGGGCCCAGGTGGCACAGGGCGGGCTGGCACCGGAGGCGCCCCCCACCCCCCGCCGGCCTCGGCTCCCGGGAGGAGGATCCGGGTCGGATCAGCTAAAAGGCAGCAGCTATTTTAGGTCGGGCTTAGGTTGTAAAATTAGCCGGGGATGGGGCGAGAGGGAGGCCCAGAGACAGACAGAGATGGGGAGAGATGGGGAGAGACACACAGAGACAAAGAGAGGGAAAAGAGAGGGGGAGAGACAGAGAAGGAGACAGAGAGATAGAAAGAGACAGATGGGAACTTGAAGGGAGACAGAGACAGGGAGAGACAGGCACACACAGAGACCGAGAGAGACCAAGATGAGAGCATCGGGGCATGTGGTTTGGGATAGTGAGGCAGGTGGCCAGGAGTGGGGGGCTCTGCATGCAGCAGTCAGAGGCCTTCTAAGCTCCCCCCCACTGGGGACCCCAGACCAGGCTCGGCCTTGGAGGAGCAGCAGGGATCCCACTCCGGCTTCAGGGGAAGCGAAGAGGAGGGTCTCCGACTCCCCTCCAGGGCAGGGGGTGCCAATGGGAGAATCTCAGGAAAGGAGGAAGCCCCCTGTCTTTGGGACACTGCCTCCTCCTCTCCCTGTCTCTTGCACACAGCAACCCCGGGCGTTTTGGAGCTCTCCTCCTGGGGAAACTGAGGCAGAGGCAGCAAGTTCTCGGGGGCAAAGCCAGGGCTCCCCACTCTCGCCCCCCCTCCTCAGGCAACTGAACGGAGGTGTCCCCTGAGCAGCTCCGAGGGGGGAATTCCGGGGCACCCTGGCATAGCCGCCCCTCCTGCGTGGCCCTCTTGAGCTGGTCAGCTTGGGAAGGGTGGGGGGCACCTTGGAGCCACCCAGGCCACCCCATAAGCCCAGAGGCTGCGAAGTCTTCTCAAGGTCGCACAGTAAGACCAAGTTGAACCCTAGTTGTTCTTGGGAAGCTTCAAGGAGATGTCTGCTTTGGGGAATTCCCCCCGCAAAAGCTGCTAAGAAAGGGAAACTGAGGCCTAGAGAGAGGCAGGGACTTGCCCAAGGTTATCCAGGGGGATCACAGGGTGGACAGGCTTGAGACTCCCTCAGCACCAGCCCCCACGTTCCCTGTGGGAAGCCAAGGGCTCCCAGTGGCAGCTGGAGGGGGCTGGTGAGAAAGATCCGGCTGTGAATGGGGGCCCCAGGATCACGCCTGGGGTCCCCAGGCCTCCACATTCCCTGGGACACAAGCCAGGCATCCACACGCTCCCCACACAGTGCTCTTTAGGAGCCCCGACTCTCGCTGGAATTGCATGCCCCACGTGCAGCACTTTACAGTTTGGACGCCACACTGGCCCTCTCTCCAGAACCAGCCTTAGCTCCATGTCCTTCTGGGGAAACTGAGGCCAGAATCTCACTAGCCTACAGACACACAGCAAAATGGGGGTGGGGGGCCCCAGATCTGGATAGCAGAAACCTGCAGTGCTGGGGGTCCGGAAGGGAGTTGGGGGCATGAAGTCATGCCCCAGGGAGCGGCTTGGTGCAGGGACAGCCGCCCCTTCCCCTCGCACCCCTGTGGTCATTGCACAAGGCTCAGCCGGGGGCAGGCTGGGAGCGCGGCCAGGGGTGAGAGGCTGCGGGAGGGGGCAGGGGCAGGTGCCGGGCTGGCGAGGGCGTCCGCAGCGCCGCAGTGCCCGGGCCAGACCCCGGAACGCCAGGCTCGGCTCCTCCCGGCCGCAGCCCAAGAATCCAGGATCCACGCGGCGAAATTACCGGGATCGTGTCGGGGAGGTGGCGGGGTGGGGGCGACAGGGGAGACGGAGCCGGAACGCGGGCACCCTTCCCCCGCTCCCGGCGCGTCCAACTTCGCGCGCCCCTCCCCCTCCACGCACACGTGGGCCAATAACGGGGGGACCCGCGGCGGCCGAAGGCCCGGCACAGCCTTAGCTGGCGGGGGTGGGGGGGACCCGGGGACACAGCAGAGGGGTCCTCTTCTCAAGAAGAGCTGGGGGGGACCCAGGGTCCAGCCACGACCTCCTGGATTCCAATCCGGGGCAGGCCGGGCGCCTCCCGCACAGCCCTGCCTTTGGCTCGCCGGGGGTGCCCCCCTCCCCGACCTTCCCGAGCGAGGGGGGCGGGGAGCGCGTCCCGAGTGGGGGGAGGGCAAGTCTGCAGACCGAGTCCCCACGTCCGCGAGGGGTGGGGGCGTTGGGGGTGGGGAGGACAGGGCGGGAGTCCCGGGTGCGGTGTGTGTATGGGGGGCGTGCGGGGTAGGGGTCCCCGGCCCGACCCATCCCCCACCGGACCCCAGCCCTTGAAGGGGGCATCCCGGCCCGGGTGGCGGGAGGGACGCGCGCCTTTTTCGTCCCGCCTCCTCTGGCTTCAAAACTCCGGGGCCGAGGATGCGGGGGGCGCGGGCCGGGGCGCGGGGGCGCGGGCGGGGGCCGTACCTGAGTCAGGCAGAGCGGGGACGAATACATCCCGGCGCGGCGGAGGCGCGGGCCGGCCGGAGCGGGCGCACCGAACTTACTGAGTCATTTTTCCAACCCCCCCCCC